ACCTGTATCAGTAAATTGTGTAGCAAGTTGCCAATCAGAAATAATGTAAGTTGCTAATCAGATTTATCGCAAGTAACCAATCAGAATTATCGCAAATTGCTAACCACAATTATCGTAAGTTGCCAATCAGAATTACCGCAAGTTCCCAGGGAAATATATCGCAAGGTGCCAATCAGAATTATCACAAACTGCCAATCAGAAATATCAGAGGTGTTTCAACATATCATAAACTCTGGATCTTGGGTCGATATTGTGTGATGTAGAGGAAGAATATCGTCTTTTCACATTTCATCTTCCAAGATCCAACGTCACACAATAGCCAATAAAAAAGGTGTAATAAACGTGGAGAAGAAGAAGGAGGAGGAGGAGAAGAGGGAGAAGGAGGAGGAGAAAAAGTAGGAGAAGGAAGAGAAGAAGGAGGAAGAGGAGAAGGAGAAGAAGGAAATGATTAAAGAGATAGATGAGAGAGAGAGAGAGAGTGACACTAACCCCAATATACATAATACAGTTTTACGGCTTTTAATATCTGCTATAACGTGTTGCTAACGCCACCGTGTCGTGTGCAGGTGAGGTAAAAACAAACAGAGATTGTTTTCACTGTTTATATGTGTGTGTGTGTGTGTGTGTGTGTGTTTGCAGGAGACCCCCCGGAATTGCCTTTTGTGTTTGTAATCTTGCCAGGTATGCACATTGCTGGTGGATTAATACTCGTGGGCATGTTTGGTATTCTCGTAAATTTCTCGTTAAGAAAGATTCACCTTGCGAGGCTTACACAAACACAGGATCATGAAATATTACCGTACGGGATTCCTAAGTTCGTGTACTGCAGTATATATAAAAATGTATCGTAAAAGTAAAGGTTGAACTGACAAAGTTAGCAACAGACTGTATTGTATGAGCAATGCTGGCAACTGTTCCAAGCTCTCGTCTGTTTACTAAAATGAGACTATTGACTCAGGCTGCTAACTGAAATAGTAGTAGTAATAATAATAATAATAATAATAATAATAATAATAATAATAATAATAATAATAATAATACGAAACACTGCATTTTCCCTTAATAACTCTCTCTCTCTCTCTCTCTCTCTCTCTCGCCACCACATGTATGTTAGCCATAAAGTGAAAAAAAAAAAATCTAAATATACGATGGACAAAACTTCCTGTGAAAATTGTATCGATATCTGAACAGAATTTGTGGCCAGAATGTGGGTGTGTAGCATTAGGTAGGAGGCGTGGAGGAGACAGAGACAGAGACAGACAGACAGAGACAGAGACAGACAAACAGGAAAGAACAAAGACTAACAATAATCAGCAACTGCAGCGCAAACATCTACTATATATTAACAATGTAGAAGGTAAAGTTTTACTATCAGACCGCAATGTTGTTAATGTTGTTTTACGTTACGTGATAAACAACAGTTAAGGAAGGTCGTTACCAAGCTCTCTGTTATTAAGTATTTGATCGATGGCTACAGTATGGTATCAATTGGTGGGAATGAAGAGGTATTTTGCACTTGAAACTACTTAAGCGCTTCCTCCCGTCTCCCGCCCTCACTTATAAAAGGCTTCACACACACACACACACACACACAGTCAGTCAGTCGGCTCATTAAACACGTACGCTTATATTAAAACAGTTCAGTATCGACCTCCCCTAAACGTCGACCGTGTCTTTCCCATCCACGTATAAATGGGAAGAAAACAGAATATTCATCATGACTCATTATTCATTCAGAAATTCATTGCTCAGTCAGGTTGAAACATTCTCATTATTCATTCTGTCGTCTGAGGAAAATGGGGCAGTCAGATTATTCATCAGCCCGTTTGTGATTCTCATTACATTGGAGTGTGTTCAGAAGTGTGTTAGTGTGGTGTTAGAGTGCGTTAAGAAGTGTGTTACTGTGGTGTTAGAGTGTGTTAAGAAGTGTGTTAGTGTGGTGTTAGAGTGTGTTAAGAAGTGTGTTAGTGTGATGTTAGAGTGTGTTAAGTGTGCTAGTGTGGTGTTAGAGTGCGTTAAGAAGTGTGTTAGTGTGGTGTTAGAGTGTGTTAAGAAGTGTGTTAGTGTTGTGTTTTATTTTCCACTCTTCTGTAAACATTTTGATGACCTTTGACCCAAGACACCGAGGGGTGACGCTTGACCCAAGACGATAGGAGATGACCGTCGACCCAAAGTGCTGAGATAACCTTTAAGCTAAGATGCTGAGAGCTGACTTTTCACCCAAGATGGTAAAAGGTGACCTTTGAGCCATGACACTGCGAGGTGACCTTTGAGCCATGACACTGCGAGGTGACCTTTGACCCAGACGATAGGAGGTAACCTTTAACCCAAGACACTGGGAGGTGATCTTTGACCCAAGATGCTATGAGATGACCTTTGGCCTAAGACGCTGAGAGATGAACCTTGACCCATGACACTGAGAGATAACCTTTGACCCTATAAGATGACCTTTCCTCCTTCCCCCTTTTGGCGTCGACAACAATTTATTCAGTATTTTTTGCGGGTGTATCTGGGAAGGTTAGTATCCATTACGTGAATGTCTTGACACTTATCGCAGTCTTTGGGATTGAAATGACTCACTTAAATTTTTACCTCAACTTTTATACAACATTTCTGAAGTCAATTCTAGATCCGGTTTCGCCTTGAGAGTCTCTTAATGGAGGGTTCAGTAATTTTTGTAATGTTTTCTCTTTAAAAATTTATTCTAATGACTCTCGTAATGGCAACTAGGTGTTAGTACAGTAATCCTCACCTACAAAATTACTCCACATTTACGGTAATAAAGGCCATTTGACCATACAAAATACCCCTTAACAGAGTCCATAGAGAGAGCAGTAACTCGTATGCTTTTATAACAAATTCCAATAGCTATAATCACCATAGAATTTCATCATAAGTTATAGAATATGTTAAACTGTAGGGCCTATAACCCTTCTATTATAGCACGTACTGTTTGCTATACTCAAATAGATCTTAATACCATAGCCAGTATAATGATGTCTGGTGTTTACGTAGCTCATCAATATTAGAATTTGTTGGTCATAACATACTGTTGTGACGCCTCATGAATGGTCAATATGGAAAGTAATGTAAAAAAAAAACTATCCATCGTAACACACATATGCTTCATTATAACACACACACGTGCCCCATTATAACACATATGCTTCATTATAACACATATGCTTCATTATAAAAGCGCATGTGCTTCATTATAACACGCATGTGCTTCATTATAACACGCATGTGCTTCATTATAACACGCATATCCTTCATTGTAACACATATGCTTCATTATAACACATATACTTCATTATAACACACATGTACTTCAGTATAACATCTGTTTCATTATAACAAATATGCTTCAATATAACACATATGCTTCATTATAACACATATGCTTCATTATAACACACATATGCTTCATTATAACAAGAGTGAAAGAAGAAAAAGAAGAATGAAAGAAGAAGAAGAATTTAAAAAAGAAGAAGAATGAAAGAAGAAGAAGAAGGAGAAGAAGAGTGAAAGAAGAATGAAAAAAGAGGAAAAATAATGAAAAAAAGAAGAATTAAAAAAAGAAGAATGAAAGATGAAGAAGAAGAAGAAGAAGAAGAACTCACTCTTTAAATGCTAAGACATGGAGAAGGGGAAGACAAGAGGATTAAGATTAAAGAGAGTAGGAAAAAAGGAGAATTGCTTTTAAGAATATGAAGACATGACACAAAAGATGATAGAAAGGAGAGTAAAGGTAAAAGTAAGAAAAAACAGAAGATAATAACCCTAAAGAAACAAAGGAGAATAAGGATAATTTAGAATCAATTTGATAATACAGACACGAAATAGGAGAAAATAAAAGATTATAATGATGAAGAGGAATGAAAGAATTACAAGACATAATAAATAAGACCAAAGTAAGACACAGAACATGAGAATAAAAGAAATACGACCAAATGGAAGAAGAATGAGACAAAAGAGGAAATGAAAGAAAAATAAAGAACACGAAGAAGAAAGAAACTGGATAAAAAGAATAATTTAAAAGAAGATATAAGGATAAAGGAAGAGTGAAAAACAAAACACAGAGAGAGTCGTCCACTCATTAAGGGTAAAATTTCTAACCCATGCAACGTTTCTGAGTGACAATAGTATGCCATTTATTATCATACTTAGAAAACGTTTCTCTGAGTTAATGACGTAATAACTCCAACCTATGAGACGTTTTTAAGTGTTTGTTTACATCAACGTCTTAAAAAAACATTTATTGTTATACTATACTGAAATATTACCATTACTCAGAGCGGGTTTCCACCGTGAAATATATCTGGTGTGTAGAGTCTTGCTGCTGGGGAGATAGTGGGAATTACTTTAAATTAGAGAGTTAGTCCATATAGATTAGAGTAATGGTACTAATGGTGAAATAACAGTGGTTCATAATTATTTTGTTTATATAATTAAATTTAATGTGATTGATTCAGAGTGTAAAATTATAGAGTTTTGAGTACATTTGTCGAGTGACGGATCGTGAAAGTTAGAGTGACGGTGTTAAGAGGTACTCTAGACCGGCCCTTATAAACACACACACACACACACACACACACACACACACACACGTACAAGCTCCCTAAGGACACACAAGGGCATAATACATACACCCCAGAGGCGGACACAGGAGGCGGTGGGCCAGACACATTAACGTTTTACACGCCATTTATTTACTGTGTCGGAGGTGTAATTTACATTTTACGATGTTTTATATGTGGCTCTCACGCCTCTACGTCCTCTTAATGTTACTCACAGTCGTCTTCGTGTGTGTGTGTGGGGGGTGGGGGGTGGGGGGTGGGGGAGCTATTCCTGCCATTCTTCATTTCCTTTTTCTTCTTCTTAATCTGTTTCTTTTATAATCTTCTAACCACCCTTTACTCTCTTCCCCCCCACAACTAACCACCCTCCCTTCTCCCCCACCACAACTAACCACCCCCTCCTTCTCTCCCCTACCACAGTTCCCAAGGTGGTGATCGTGCCGGTAGGAGACAGATACGTGAAGGCTGGTAGCACCGTCAGGGTAGACTGCCAGATCACCGACGTGGTTCAGATCCCGGACTATATCTTCTGGTACCACGAGGACAAGAGGGTTATGGACAGGCGTGACCCGAACCTATTGGTGAGTTCTTGTGTCTTGTGGTACTTTCCTTGAGGACTACTTTCATGTTATAGTAAGTACCGTCTAGTTACTTTCCTGTTGGTTACTTTCAAGTTATAGTAAAGTACCGTCTTGTGGCGCTTTTCTTGGAGACTATTTTCCTGTTTGTTTCTTTTCGTGAGGACTACTTTCATGACACAGTAAGTATCGTCTTTTGTTACTTTCTTAAGGGTTACTTTCATGTTATAGTAAATACCGTCTTGATACTTTTCGTGAGGACTACTTTCATGACACAGTAAGTATCGTCTTTTGTTACTTTCTTAAGGGTTACTTTCATGTTATAGTAAATACCGTCTTGATACTTTTCTTGAGGACTACTTTCATGTTGCAGTAAGTACCGTCTTATTTTGTTACTTTCTTGAGGACTACTTTCGTGTTATAGTAAGTATCGCCTTGTTTTGTTACTTTCCTGATGGTTGTTTTCATGTAATAGTAAGTACTGTCTTGTTACTTTCCTAATGGTTACTTTCGTGCCATAGTAAGTATACCTATAGCTTTATAGTACTTTCCTAGTAAGGGTCTACTTTATTGAGTACTTTCCCTTGTTATAGGTTGTACCCCGAGTGTTATTAGATGTTGTGAGTCGCCATCGTCTCGTCAGGTATGGAGAGTAAACGACCTGTTGCTTGTGGAATTCATGGATGATCAGATCAGACAGGTGTTAATTTATAACGAAGTGAAGAAAGATTTGTTATGGTGTTTTGATTGTGTGTGTGTGTGTGTGCCTCCCTGTGTATATCTCACCACACACATGCATGTATACAGCTTATACATTCATACATATACACATAAACACTACAGCCTCAGCGAACTTGTATGATACCAAACAAATGAGGTCATCTAGGAATACATCACACTATGTATGAAGCATCACCAAGACTAACCGCGTGACATCATTGGCTGACATCTCTCCATTAACACACGTGGAAAAAATGTGTCGCCTCATATCGCCTCACAGTAATTACAGTCCGAGTTCCATTGCAGTTAACAGCTAATTGGCTTCTCCTAACGTGTTTAACTGCAGTTCCGAGACAGTGTTCATAATTCGTCCCAGCAGGGTAAAGAAACAACTTGAATTACCCTATTATGCTTGATAATGAGGTCATTACACATAATTGCCCTGTCCTCTTTACCCAAACCTTGCGAAAGAAGTGTCAGGCATTGTAGAGATACAGAGTCAAACACACACAGACACACACACACACACACACGAAGAACACAAAAATCAATACAACTCCAACGCTTCTATCCCTAATTAGTGATTTTTCAGGCTACCATCATTGTCTGTATTTCTTTCCTTCGTAAAACATGCCCCCCCCACCCTCCACCCCCACCCCTCCACCCCCCACCTCCACCTCCACCCGCACTGAAATAGGAAAAAAAAGAAAAAAAAAAAGACGGGAAACGTAGGAGAGTTGAAATCGAAATTGGAATTGGTCTATCGAGCTTCAAATGAGATTAACATGGTTTCGTGTGGTCATTGTGTGTGGTATGAGAGTGAGGTAACCGGCCCTCACCAGTCGCGCTGTGTTGGGATGGTGGTGTAACCTAACCTCATATAACCTAACCTAACCAAGAGGTACCCTGGCCTGAGGTATCGTTCTACCCCCTCCCCTTAATGTATGGATGTATGTGTTATGTGCGTATCTGACGGCTAAAACTACGGTATAAATGAAAGTGTTTAACTTTATGAAAAACTTGACGAAAAATGACTAGAATTGGTGACTGGTTACTGAAAAAGAAACATCCAGTATATCTTACTTATACGTCAGCCAATCAGAACTGCAGATTACTTTTGAAAAACTCCCCGAAGAGCCAATCAGAGCTACAGAATAATCCATACTAGGCTCCCACCACACTGAGCCGCGAAATTCACCAATACGAACCATAGGACTCCCCCAGGAGCCAATCAAAATGTAAAAATAATCCCACAGAGCTCCTAACCACTTAACTATAAACTAACATCCTATAGGACTCCCACACACAGTCTTTCAGGGTTCCCTCTTTTAGGGTCCAGGTGACATTGACACGTATTGGTATTGTCCTTACTAATATCACCTGTCTCTCCCTGTTTGCACACGTTAACAATGGCAGGGTATTTGATGCATACTAACCTACCTGTATTTTCTCATGATCAGGTGTTTAATCGTCTTAATATATTTATGTAATGGATTTTTTCTGCCTTTTGTCTACCTGTGGTCTGGTGATATTATTATTATTATCATAATTATTATTATTATTATTATTATTATTATTATTATTATTATTATTATTATTATTATTATTATTATTATTATTACTTCTATTTTCTATAAACTGTCCTAATAATCATAAACATTAATTATAAGACCATTTAATTTACTTGTATTTTTGTTAATTGAAGTTCACTCATCAGCATCATAATTAATCAACAATGTCTCGGCGTCTCTCAGGTGACGGTGAAGCGGACAGGGGTAGAGGCCATGACCTCCACCTTCACCATCCACAAGGTGCGGCAGGAGCAAAGTGGCAACTACACCTGCATGCCCTCCAACCTCCACGCGGCCTCCGTCACCCTCCATGTCCTTAATGGTCAGTACAGGTGTCCTTTTGTGCCCTTAATAGTCAGTACAGGTGTCCTTTTGTGCCCTTAAGAGTCAGTAGAGGTGTCTTCCTATGTCCTCAGGGTTAACAGTTACGTTCTGTGTCCTCAGCAGCCAGTAAATGTACCCTCTCTCCCCTCAGCAGCCAGTAAATGTACCCTCTCTCCCCTCAGCAGCCAGTAAATGTACCCTCTCTCCCCTCAGCAGTCAGCAAACGTACCCTCTTTTACCTCAGCAGCCAGCAAATGTACCCTCTCTCCCCTCAGCAGTCAGCAAATGTACCCCTCCCTCCCTCAGCAACAGTAAATGTACCCTCTCTCCCCTCAGCAGCCAGTAAATGTGCCCTCTCTCCCCTCAGCAGCAGCAAATGTGTACCCTCCCTCCCCTCAGCAGCAACCAGTAAATGTACCTCTCTCCCTCAGCAGCAGTAAATGTACCCTCTCTCCCCTCAGCAGCCAGTAAATGTGCCACTCTCTCCCCTCAACCTTCAGTAAATGTACCCTCTCTCCCCTCAGCAGCCAGTAAATGTACCCTCTCTCCCCTCAGCAGTCAGCAAATGTGCCTCCTCCCCCTCAGCAACCAGTAATGCCCTCTCTCCCCTCGGCAGCCAGTAAATGTGCCCTCTCTCTCCCCTCAGCAGTCAGCAAATGTACCCTCACCTCCCCTCAGCAGCCAATGGCTCACCCTCTCTCCCCTCAGCAGCCAGTAAATGTACCCTCTCTCCCCTCAGCAACCCAATAAATGTACCCTCTCTCCCCTCAGCAGCCAGTAAATGTGCCCTCTCTCCCCTCAGCAACCAGTAATGTACCCTCCCTCAGCAGCCAGTAAATGTGCCCTCTCTCCCCTCAGCAACCAACAAATGTGCCTCTCCCTCAGCAGCCAATAAATGTACCACCTCTCTCCCCTCAGCAGCCAGTAAATGTACCCTCTCATCCCTCAGCAGCCAGTAAATGTACCCTCTCTCCCCTCAGCAACCAGTAAATATTACCCTCTCTCTCCCTCAGCGGCCAGTAAATGTACCCTCTCTCCCCTCAGCAGCCAGTAAATAAACACCCTCTCATCCCTCAGCAGCCAATGCATCTTACCCTCTCTCCCCTCAGCAACCAGTAAATGTACCCTCTCTCCCCTCAGCAGCCAGTAAATGTACCCTCTCTCCCCCTCTTTTACCTCAGCAGCCAGCAAATGTACCCTCTCTCCCCTCAGCAGCCAGCAAACGTACCCTCTTTTACCTCAGCAGCCAGCAAATGTACCCTCTCTCCCCTCAGCAGCCAGTAAATGTACCCTCTCTCCCCTCAGCAGCCAGTAAATGTACCCTCTCTCCCCTCAGCAGCCAGTAAATATTCCCCTTGATATATTAACCCGATCAAATGGCCCAGAAAATAAACTCGTATCTTATCAGTGGAGAGTAAAGTTAATGACCCATGTACTTAACCAGTTAGAACTATAACCTTGTAAACAGTGCTTACTAACCCTGGCAGTTAAAGCACCTGAAAGTTTTAAGACCTAGTCAATGGTATTTAATAACCCCAGGGTAGTTGAAGCACCTAAAACTAAGACCCAGGTATACGGTGCTTAATGAACCTGGTAGTTGAAGCACCGAAAACTAAGACCCAGGTATACGGTACTTAATGAACCTGGTAGTTGAAGCACCGAAAACTAAGACCCAGGTATACGGTGCTTAATGAACCTGGTAGTTGAAGCACCGAAATGTAAGACCTAATCAACTATACTCAATAACCAAGGTCGATACATCCCCCAAAAGACCCTGCCACCTATAAACATTTATCACAAACAACAACACCGTAATATCTTTGCCAGTGAGACAAAAACACAGATAAACCAAAACATAAACAACATATCACCTGGAACAAAAAAAAAAATCTTAATCGATATTCCATTAGCAACATGAAAGGTTATTAAGGCCAGCTTTAAATCGGTAATGAGCCAATACAGTACAGTGATGATGATGATGATGATGATGATGATGATGATGATGATGATGATGATGACAAAAATAGTAAAAGCATAACATAAGAATAATCTCAAGTAATAATTATTATATATATCGTAACATTTAAAACACACTGTAATGGAGACTTAACTATATCTGCGTTAACGAGATACTGACTTACACCTCCGGCAGCACATATAAACCAACACTTTACAAAAACACCAAAAAATACTTTAAGATCGAGAAAATCATCCATCATTTAGATCAGTTAGGACAAACACTGGAGAGTCAGAGGAGTGCAGACATTGGACTGACTAACGCACCCTCAGTAAGATAATGTCCCTGGATGTTAGCTTTTGTGAGTAATAAATTCACCCGCTTGTATAATGTTATGTTTGTGCCCAGATACATATATTTGTTTGGGTGGAAATTTTGCATAAATATGAAAATTAGGTCAAAGTTATGGTCTTTTTTTTTTTTTTACGTCAGGAAGTTAAATAATAATAAAAAAATCCACCCCAGGGATAATATAATATTCTGAATATATGTAAATATTCTTCCACTAAACGATGAAAAAAAAAACACACACACACACACACACACACACACACACACACACACACACACACACACACACACACACACAGAAAGAGGGACATTGTACAAAACATACACACAAACACCGCCCCACATACAAGCACACAAACAATAATGTTGGTTGGCTCGCTTGCTGGAGGTGCCTTAACGAAATTTATTTAAGGTACACAAGCTGTCACCAACACAGCAACCACAGCCACAGTTAGCCCAGGAAGACAGGGAGGTGTGTCGACTGCACTGGATAACCATTGCCCTTGAATACGATCCGCCATTCGATTTTTACATCCAAGTCCCCAGTTACTGCAGAGTAGAGAGAGAGAAATATTTGTGTAAGAGTTTGTTAATGCTCTCTCTCTCTCTCTCTCTCTCTCTCTCTCTCTCTCTCTCTCTCTCTCTCTCTCTCTCTCTCTCTCTTTCTCTCTCTCTCTCTCGGCATCCTAACACGTCCTCACTTATTCCTGGAGCCATCACTACTACCACCACCATCACCATTACCACTATCTGTGAGCCTCTTCCTGACTACCACCACCACTACCACGATCCCCCCACTACCAATATTTATGAGCTTCAAACACCACCACAACCATCTGTTACACCTAGCAGCATCAGCACGGCCATCATCACCCACCTCCCTACACCACCACCATTTTCCACACAACTACCATCATCCCCCACTATGACCACCACCAATCCCCACTACCACTACCATCCCTAAAAAATACCACTACCCTCCCTCACTATCACCACTACCCTCCTCACTATCACCCTACCCTCCCTCACTCATCACCCTGCCCTCCCACACTATCACCACTACCCTCCCTTACTATCACCACTACCCTCCCTCACTACCACCACTACCCTCCTTACCACCACTGCCCTCCACTATCACCACTGCCCTCCCACTATCACCACTACCCTCCTTACTATCACCACTGCCCTCCCACACTATCACCACTACCCTCCCTTACTATCACCACTACCCTCCCTCACTATCACCACTACCCTCCCTATCACCACTACCCTCCCTTACTATCACCACTGCCCTCCCACACTCACCACCCTCCCTTACTATCACCACTACCCTCCCTCACTACCACCACTACCCTCCCTCACTATCACCACTACCCTCCCTCACTATCACCACTACCCTCCCTCACTACCACTACCATCATCCCCTACCACTATCTGAGTCTTTTCCTCCTTACCACCACCACCACCACCATTATCACCTGACACCTGCACCATTATCACCTGGCACCTGCACCACACTTATCCTCTCTCTCTCTCCCTCTCTCTCTCTCCTCCTTAAACTCGACTCTTAAGAGAATTTTTAGCTGTGATGTGAATATTTGAGGAAAAATATTCGAGAATGGCGAGTAAACCCGAGGAGTGAAGTCAAAATGTTTGGCTTGGCGTATTCCCAACTTTTCCTATTCACACTCTGCTTGATATTATACCCCCCTCACTCCCTAATCCCCTCTCCCTCACCCCCCGCCGCTGACACATACTAAAGGGTGTTGTCTTTCTCGTCTTCTTGTGAACGGGGCTGAAAATATCCTGTTCTTTTTTATCTTTTTATATTTTTATTTTTACTGGGAGGATTAGAACACGTGTGTGTGTGTGTCTCTGTGTGTGTACTAATATACATACAAGCACATACTGTATTCACATGCATACTACTTTTCAACATCTCATCAGAAAATTTAACCCACTCATCGTGTCTGCTCCTCCAATTAAAACATTTCTTTTTCGTCTTTGTCTACACGCTCATTCACAGTCGTAAAAAAATGCACATCACCTTAAAAAAAAGTCTTACAGTATGATGTAGGAGCCAGTGACTATAAAGGGCCAAGAAATATATAACACTGAGACTTTAAAGTGTACTTGAGGAGCGTCTTGATCCCTGGTGGTTTGAGAAGGCTTTGAGAACTGCATATTAACGTGTGTTTTCTTTTTCTTTCCCTCCTGCAGAGAAGCACCCGGCAGCGATGCAAGGTGAGCGCAACGACGCAGGCGCAGTAGAGGCTAAAATACACATCACCCTCGTCGTCCTCCTCTTTGTCCTCATCTGCAGCGTGTCCTTCGGCCTTAATGAAGAAAGTAATGAGTCGGCGGCAAAGAAGAGGACCTTGGATCTTTCCTCATCATCATCTTCCGAGTCTCCAGTAGTCTCCTCCTCTTCTTCCTCCTCCTCCTCCTCCTCCTCAGGATCCATCCTTACTACTGACTCCTTCACCTCTCCCAACCACCACGCCCTCTCCGCAATTGTTTTTGATGGTGAGGAGCCGAAGACATCACCAGTCCTTCGGGAACTCCTAAAAATCGACGTTCTTCACTTGGCCAAAGAAGTGCTCGCCCAGCTGGAGGGTCAGGGGGCGGGGGTAGAAGAGCCTGGTCAACTTTCACCACTGGCTCCTGTAGGTGCTGGTGACACATGCTTGGGGGCTCCAACACGTCCACACTTGGCCAGGACTCGAGAGATACTTGGCTTGAAGGGTCATCCTTTAACGTACTTCAGGCAGCGGCAGGAACCCCGAGTAGAAGCCCTTGACGAAGGTTCTGCTCAGCTTTGTAAGGGAGAAGAGGATGTAGGAGGAGCGACACTTCAGATGAACCACACCGAGATAACTACTGACCCCTCGCAGCAGCTGCACCAGCAGGATTCATCCGTCGTCGTCTCGAACACCAACTGGAGCTTCGGTCGATGGGCGTCAGTAGTGAGATGTCGGTGATCAGCGCAGCCCCTCCCTAAACATACTCCTGTACATACTATGTGTAAATATATAACATGATTTTTATGTGTACATATAGAGTCGTACAAAATATCGTTCCCTGTTAGGAGTTAGCAGTGGATAAATCATGGGACAGTGTCGTTTTGTAAAACATTTATAAAGACTTAAGACCAGATGAATCCAGGCCGTGAGTGGCTGAGTCTGGCGGAGGGAGTGATGATTTCACTCAACAGCTGCTGTACATAAACAATCTCTCGCTAGTCTTGATCCAAAGAGGCTCTTGGTGTGGCTTTTTTTTATCATGTAACTTTTGAGTCTTCTGAAACATTATTTAAAATATCTCAAGGCTCAACAAACAATTTTTCTCCTTGGTTATGTAAATTGGTTAATAGTGAAGCATTTGTATAGTTATTTCTTGTTTATCAACATTACTAGAAAAATGTATACGAATGTGTAATTCCATGTCGTTTGAAAATATATCTACGATCGAGCTCCCAAGTCTTCTGTGTTCACCACAATAAACAAACTTGATACTTAACCAACAACGATAAAATCCAATATCAAGTCTGAACCTCAGATATAAAAACTATTCTTGATATAAAAACATCTTACAAAGAACTGAATAAAATCGTGTACGCTAATTAGATGCTCCAGTGTCATGCTCCAAGTTATAGTGAGCAGCTCCACCAAGAACACCGAAAACCACGAAAAGTCTGTGTTTATCAGATCTTATCAGTTCACCATAACTTGCCGCAGGGTTTGTGGTGAGTGTATCCAGTGTTTGTTGGCGGCAGTCTAGTGTTACAGCGATGATGGTCTTACTGCGGTAGTGTGGTGCTAGAGTCGTGTTGGTCTGCTCCCGTAGATGAGCTTAAAACACCATCAGACAGCCTGGCGCTAACGTGGTGTGATGTTGGTCTCTTTAGCTAGACTGAAACTGTGGCACCATCAGACAGCTTGACATTGTTTTTTAAGACTCTTGTGGTTCTGTTGCTCCCATCCAGTTGGCTAAGCTTGAAATACCATCAAATATACTGAAGTATAATATTATGATGGAATATACTCGACACCAATTACCCCCTAAAAAAGCATTATAATGTTAGTGTGGTGAAAATATGCTGGAATATTATACTCGACACCAGCCAGCGACCTCTCCCGGACGGATCTGGGTGAAGACCTAACAGAGACACACACACACAAAAGACTCGGGCGTTCTTTTCCAATTGAGTGTTTCGTAAAGAGTTTAACCAATGAGTTAAATATTTCTGTGTTCACTGTACGCTGTTTAATACTTTCCTCAAGGCCAACTCATATTTATTACTCTGTGAAATAAAAAAAAAAGCACATAATTATTGAGCTTTCTGTGTAGGTTAATAGATGTTTATTAATACCAATTGATTTTATAGGAGAGAAAAATAAAATACCACGTAAAGTCTTGAGTTTGTAAATGGTTACAGGCGAAGACACAATACAAGTTTTCTTTAATGTTGCGTTATTTTGTTGTTGTTTTTTCATGTGAAGAATTATATTATTATCTGCAGCTGGAAGAAGCGTCAGTCTTTGTCTCTCCTCCAGTATTTATACGAAGAAACTGACATAAACAAGGTCAGCCTGGTTATAGTTTTACTTAGTATTTGTTTATTTCATTTTGTCATTTTATAATCCAGTGCTCAAAACCAACTCGTCTCTCTCAAATAATCAATAAACCTGACTCACTAACACTCACAATGATAAAAAAAAAGTTATATTCCCTTCAGATGCAAAAAAAAAAAAATAACCCGACAACTCTATTGAACAGTAACAAAAGCGCCGACTCGCATTCAGTAGCCTATCATATCTCACAACAGCGTCAGACCCACACACACAAAAAAATGAACGATACTGTAAGGAAAAAAAAACGATGAATATTTATATGACAGCCAGGGTGAGAAAAAAAAGGGGGGGAAAATTCTCTCGGAAACGAAAAGTGAGTTCTTGAGCTACACTATTTAGTTTAAGACACTTACAAACACCAAGTGCTGTACCGTCTTGTTTACCTGAAGATGTAAAACAAATTTTTTTTCTACTCGTCTTTCACTCAACTGATGAATCGCTATTTCAAGTTTCTCCTCAAAAGTTAACATTATCAAGAAAAAAAAAATACTGATAACGAAATTTGCAAATTTTTGGGGACTGTAACAAATAATGTGATGAATTACATAAATGAATAATAATGATAATGATGGTATACGAAGATAACTAACTACAATAATAATGATAATTTTAACAATGAGAATCAAAAGAAGTTTAATAATAATAATAATAATAAATATGACAACACTAATAATAATAATAATAATAATAATAATATTAATAAAAATAAAACTATTCCCTAAAGTTAACACCAAAAGGAGTGATTCTCATAGCAATATGTAAAACATTTCTCTTCATTTCGTCTCTGACCATAACGCCATCACTTTCTCCCCACCTGTGTCAGATATCCATTATAGGTGAGACACAGTGCACTGAATTCCACTCCAGGTGCATTAAGAACGATTCAATGTCATTTCAATATAGCTTTTATTATTCCCTAACCCGGAGAATAAGAGGAGGAAGAGAGGGAGGTAAAGAGAATAGGGAGAGAAACAGAAACATAAGAGGGAGAGAGACGAGAAAGTGAAATAAACTCAATTCCTACCGAAACAAGAAGCAGTAAATAGAGGAGATAGAGATAAAGAAATACAAACAAAGAGACAAAACACAGACCAAAAACAGATTAATAAAAGAAAACACCGAGATAATCTAAGAACATCACACGTCACCATAAAGACGACACAACACCACTACCCACACACCTTATCTTCCCAACGACACTATAACACTCAGAGCTAAGGATACCACCACAGCTTCCTAGAAATGTAAATTAATCTTCTGTTATATTTTTTGGGGATTTGTTAATAGAGAAACAAATTATTTATATTTGTTATATTTTCGATTCGGTAAAATATATTTCAAGTTATAAAAATATTGGTATATTCCATATATTATAAAAATGCAAAAAAAAATTACTTCTAAATTAAGAAAAAAAAACTGATGCTTCCTTCCAAACAATAAAAGTGAATTTGTACTTTCTTCCAACGTTACCAAGTGAACGACAAATGCTTCCCTCCAAGCCCCCCCCACCCTCTTCCATGTTGATTTCAGTCCCGTTTTCTTTCTTTTTATTATACCTGTTTTCCGTTTTTTTTTATCATGTCTATAATTTGAAGATGGCGAAGGTGTAAACATGAGCTCAATGACAACCTTGGACGTGTGTGTGTGTGTGTGTGTGTGTGTATGTACAGGTGGTCACACCCTCAATGGAGAGTGTTCAGGTGTGTTAATTATACCTCCCCGAGTTCTTCTCAGTGTGTCGTGAGCTCCTCCTCACTATGTCTGTGTGATGGTTCTTGCTGTATTTTCGAAACTTTGTGGTTCGTGTGTTTTCGGAATTTCGTGATTCAAAAACTTTCTAACTTTTCTATTTGAAAATTCTGGAAACTTTGTTGTTTAACTTTATAAAGCCTTTGTGGTTAAAAAGTCTTAAATAATATGTGATTCGAATTTATTAAAGGCATGGGTGATTCGAACATTTCAAAACTGTGATTCGGATATTTTTCGAAACTGATTTTTTTCTTCTTAACACGTGGAATGAATGGTAGGAGACACAACCATCAAATTTAATTCAATTTCCATCTCGCCCATGACCACATTACATACTTTCACCGGAAGAGATAATCCAATTTTTATTATTCTCATTCATAGTTGACTTCACATTACACCTCAAAATCATCAGACCTCCGAGAACGTGACGAACCAGAAGTGAATCTTCCATCATACAATACACTGTATCTCTCGGATTTTTTTATTTATTGCAAAAAGGAAAAGAATTCTGTTGGGAATCCCACTGTTGACTGTGTGTGTGTGTGCGCGCGCGCGCCAAGACATAGCAGTGTGTGACAGTTCTAAATTTAAAATCTTGTGTATAGTTGTGAAAGTTAAAAAACCCTTAGAGGAACGAGTGACAAGTCTGGGCATGTGTCAACACCGCCTGAGACTCTACAGTGAAACTTGTCACAAGAAGTGTGTAAAGTGAAGAAAAAATGTGTAAAGTCCACAATTGTGTAAAAACAAAACATATTTCATGTAATCTTCAGAACATATGTTGGAAAACGTTGAAAATATGTGTAAAAAGTTATGGTGAAATGTGTAACGATTCCACATACTGTATAAGAAATTAATTACAGGGAAATTCTATCTGAAATAACCTGTTTCAGAATTACGTGTGTACAGATATATGTTATTAGATACACACGACTTACTAGACGCATAGTGTAACAATAATAATAATAACACGTGTGACAACTGGAAGTGGTCTCGGAGGTACCATCACCCATGTAAAACTTTCCTGAAAATCAAAATATTTTATCAAATGATGAAAACTGACAAAAGTTTGCCTCTCCACCCGCGGCAGTGTCCCCTGAATAGAACCAAACTTTAAGAAATAATATTATAACTGGTCTTCCTCGGCTACTGCATGGAGGGGGTCGGGGAGTGTGAGGGAGGGGGTGAGGGCTGCTCATCATTCAGGTACACACGCTCAATACGCCTGGCAGGTGAACATGTCATTACTTGAGCCTCGGAACTTGAGGTTATGACGTTACCATTCAAGGATTTTGAATACCTGTTGGGTCATGCCGTTATCAATGTAAATTATATTTCCTTTTTTTTTCGTAATAAATGTTTATTAAGGCACTAACATTATTTCCTCGTGTGTGTTTTCTTTATATAAAATGAAATGTGCAAGTACTTGTGGTTTCTTATTAACATGTTAACTACGGCCTAATTAAAGACACGTGAATGTGACATCATTCCTAGTAGCCTTTCAGAGAAGAACTGAGTTATGAATGGAGTCGAACCCAGTGCTGTTTACATTCAGTGTCCACCAGCTGTTGTCCAGGTTCATTCAGAATATCGCCCCTTCCCGTACTTCGTAAAGATTACTGTTATATATCACCAGCATCTAATACTTTTTTTTCATATGTCATTATCAGTTAAAAAGAGATTTAAATATTTTTATTTTATTTTAATGAGGAAAATAATAGGAATAAATAAGTCCGACACCAGTAGACTATTTGACCAACAGGAGGTACTAGTGGGATAGGAGGCACACTACACCAGGTTATGTCGCCTGATGAATGGTGGATAGGGCCCGTGTCTCCTCCCCTAATAACTTTACTTGACTGTATAGCGGGTATATAGCCAGCCCCGATGACACCACCTGTTACATAAGAAGAAAAAAGCCTTCCCAAATAATTTCTAAATGTAGAGCTGGAGCATAACAAACGGCTACAGGAATATAGCCACTCCCCTTCGTGAATCAACCCGTTAATATAGCAAGAACATAGTCCCCCCCTCCCCCCAATTTATTACCTCCTGGCTGTATAGAAGATAAATCTCCCCATGGCACCTCATGTCAGTAATCTACAAACGTGTCCACCTGTAAGTAGAGTACCTCAATGCATGGCAACTCCGGAGCCACAAGTGTGTAAAAATAACAACAATATCTATTCACACACACACACACACACACACACACACACACACACACACACACACACACACACACACCAACGACAAAACAACCCTAAACATTAACATAAAGAAATCTAAATATATGTCAGATGGGAAAAAATATATATATCGAAAAAAATACGAACACATCTTCCAGATTTCGTCAGGTTAGTCCACCACCATACTAACTACACTGTGTTGAAGTCCAATATATTAAAAACTAAATACATAAAATTGTAAAAAAAAAAAAAAACTGTTGATCACTGAAGATTATGTATAACATTCGTATGTATATAAGTATGATGTATAGAGGGAGTATTATCCGTATGTATGTGTGTGAGAGAGAGAGAGAGAGAGGCAGAAAATATAAAATGTCAATTAATGTGCTCTGCGTTTAGGAGGATGGTGGCACTTGTACTCTCTCTAAACCATAAGAAATGTTCACTATATTACGAATTATATGTTTTGTATATATAAAAATGTTTGTAATAAATGGGACACCACAAAAAAAAATGGGTTTGTTTGTTTACATCCTTCTGGCTAATAGTGTGTAAACGAGAGAGAGAGAGAGAGAGAGAGAGAGAGAGAGAGAGAGAGAGAGAGAGAGCCTTAAAGAATTAATAAAAGATACTTGAAGAGAAGAATGAAATGATAGAATGAGAGACAGAGATAGAGATAGACTGGAGTATTCAGAAAATGAGACTTTTAATGATAGAAAAAAGACTGAAAGAGGTAGACGCTTCAGAGAATGAAATAAAAATATAAAAAGAGATAAAATAAAAGAATAAAAAGAGAGAAGTGGAGAGAGACAAGAGGTGAAAGAGGCGAGACAGAGATAAAGAAAGAAGGGATGGGGGGGAGGAGGAAAGGTGTGAGACAAAGACAATGAGATACATAAAGGGAGAGGAGAGGGAGAGAGAGAATGTAGAGACAGAGATGATAGGTGGAGAGGCGAGAAG